TCAAAATCATTATGTTTTAAACCAGTATACAAGTTGCAATAGGGTATACAAGGTCGTTCAACATAAATGTAAAGGCAGTAACAGCAGCCTTGGGTACTTTTGTGTTAAGGCACTTTTGTGTATAAAGGCAGTATTAAGACATGGTATTTAACAGTTGTCTATCTGTCCCATAGCTGATATGAAAAAATGTTTCTGTAGCACGAAATATGTAGCACTGTAAAGTATATTAGGTTTAGGTTCCTGAATACGAACTTAATTCTTATTAATATTGCAACATTTACAAGAATTATTTTTAAAATCCGGCGCGACAGTTCTTTTCTGCATTAATTAATGTTTAATTTAAAAAAAATCATCCCAATTGCTATAAAATTGTGATCTCTAACGATTTTTGAACAGTAAAATTCTATTTGTCCCCACTGTGTGACATCACAAATACTTATCTACCATATCGCGCGTGATAATTCACTAATCTTCTTTAATTAATATGTCCAGATTTATTGCAAATATTGCAAAGCGGTACTTTTGTGTTCACCTCAGTCCGTTCTACGTTCTAACAAAAAATGCGGATGAGAGTCTGAGACGTCTTATATATATAGTGTACTCCAAAATATTTTATAAAACTCCTAATAATATTACATTATAACTATAATCTTCTCATTACGTTCTTATATAAAAAAAAATGAATACATATTCAAAATTATAAACAAATGATAAACAAATACAGCAATTTCTTATTACGTTCTAACAAAAAATTCATTACTTTTAGTTTACAACGGTTGTGACTGCAGAATGCACTCCTTACTTCATGATTAAACTTTTTTCTTCAGTGTTAATTTTTATTGTCTGCTTATTAATGTATAGCTCCTTCTGGTTTCATATCTCGAATGTGAGTTACGCCTTTACAATAAACTGCTCAATAATTATATCCAATAGTTATATCCAAGTTTAAAATTGCACACATAACTTCTTGCCAAAGTTCACAATAACGATATTAATTTTTATTCACACAACAGGTAAAGTATATACTGGAAAAAATTCAATATATTTGTTACTACCTCAAAGATGAAAACGAAATCTCTATTATTAACAAATACGCGTCCAGCGCAGAACGTAACTCAACTAGAATTATACGTAAGATAAAGTTTGATGTTTTTTAATACACACTGCCAAGTAAAATAGGCAAAATTTTTGACAAATATTGAGGGATTAACACCATCTTTGCACCAAAATACTTTTGAAATTTCGATAAGTTTTTATAGGATATCAGATGAAAGATTACTGAGATATATTTTAATAAAAATAAATTAATTACCTAAATTAATTTTCTTTTATTTTGTTTTCTTTATTTCTATGGTTTTCACTTTTTATTTATTTATTATATTTTTGCTAATTTCGTAAATTAATTATTCTCTCTTTATTGATTATTAATATAACTTAAGAGTTAATAAAAAGTCCATATATGCAACAATTATGTATTTCAGAATTTGTAAACTATCGATTTATAAAATAATCTTTTTAAATATTTTTAGTAGTTGGAATTATATTTCTTGTTCTTGTTCATCCAATGTGGCCGCACCTCCTTGAGCGTTTTTTACTCATAAATGACACTACTTCCTATCGTACAATGTTGATTGCGACTGAGTATTTTATTGACCAAGAAAAATATTTATATTTCATAATGCTGCATATGTATGCAGCCTGTTGTATATGTGTGATATCGACGGCGGGGACTGGCACGATTTTTGTAATATGTTTCAAACATGCTTGTGGAATGTTGCAAATTGCTAGGTATGAAAAAGAAATAAATATACACATTTGGATTTTTTAAACATCTTACTTAATATTTCTGAAGAATTGATCTACAGAAGAGAGTGATGGGCAAATATAGAAAAAGAGAGAGAGCAAGTGGGTTGAAGAAAAGAAGAGAGAGAAATATAATTAGGATAATGGAATTTTTTATAGTTACCGTATAAGGCTAGCAATGGAGATCGATAATCGACAAAAGATTAAGCAGAGTTGTCGATTTATAAACCAGCGAATCACGATCCACAAGGGCATTCTTTTCGCCATTGATATTCATCGGAAAACCTTAAAGTTGGTATTTATATAACAATAAATATATATGATATTAATATAAATTAATATTAATATTTCTCAATTGTTTCAGTTTTTGTGAGTTCATTTTCTCCGCGTTTAAATTTACATTATCTTTCTCGGCAATACTCGGTGTGATATGTTTGAGCTTCAATATGTTTCAAGTGAGTTTCGTCTTTTTCATAACTATTCCGTCTCATATTTCAACACCTTAGCGTACCACACATAATTAAACATATCTAAAAAATTTATCACCGTGACATTTCAGGTTTTTCAGGTTGTTACATTCGGTGGTAAGCTCGAGGAGTTCTTCTTGCATTTAGCGTACATAATTCCCATTCTTGCATACATGTTCGTTTTTAATTACTTAGGTCAAGAAGTTACAGATGACAATGACAATGTATTTCTCAGCACGTAAGCAATATTGTATAATCGTGCTCGTGATATATGAGACGCCGTTCTATAAATTTAAGATGAAATTAAATTATGAAGAAAATATTTTATACAAATCTTAGTAAATTTTTTTATCTTTCTTAATCATGAATTCATAGTTCAATACTTCTTTCGTAGGTACAATGTTTGTTGGTACACAGCACCACTCAATATACAAAAATTGATATTATTGCTGTTGCAAAGAGGCAGTAAACCGTACACTTTGTCTGCTGCTGGATTGTTTGTTGCATCTTTAGAGTTTTTTGCCAAAGTAAAGAGCACAGCATGTATACTTTAACGTGGAATATTTTAAAATATAAACAAAAATAAATTCTTTTGTTACAGTTGACAAATACATCGTTATCTTACTTTACTGTCATGTATAACGTCCAGAAAAGATAAGAAACATCATATTGTAATAAAAATTCTAATATTTTTACGAAATATATATATATATATAAAAGATAGATATAGGGATAGCTTGTATCCCTACGACTGTATTCAAATGATCTTCTAGCAAATTGTATAGCGTTGTAGAAAAAAAATTTTTAATGTAATTTTGATTTGGTGTTAATAAATTTCAAAGACAAAATTAGTTTGTTAATATCTTTCACGTTTCAACAAATAAAATATTTAACTTTAGGCGAGATGAATTCTGTTAGGCTACGGTGATGAAGTATTTAATATTTCGAGAAACTTTTAATTCATTTCAAGGTTGAAATCAACGTAGCACTTGCCTTGATCATAAAAAACAAATAAAATGTAAGTCAAAATATATTTTTACCGGGACAATCAGTTGATATTGTAAAAAATATAATTGATAAAACATATCTTTTTATACTATCACCTCGGCTCCTCTCAAAACCGATTACTTCGCAAACTCGTAAGTAGTGGCTTGCGATAGTGACCACTTGATATGCTTCTAACTTTATTATAAAAAATGTGTTCAAACTACTTCCTAAGCGATTCATGGTAGCAGAATAGTAACTTGTAATCTTGTCCAAGAAGAGAATTCTGCTACCGTCAAAAGAAGTTCACAAATTCATCTAAAAAATTACAGACAATCTTTCTGTCCACAGCAAAGCATATTAAGACGGATTATTTTTACTTGAAAGGACGAGAAACAATAATCACGAAAAAATTTAATAGATAAAAATCACTGTACTAACTCGCTTGTGTTTTAACGCGGCACTGGAATGTTAAATTTGAAAATCGCTCTTTGTTCTCAAAGATTCAAACAAGCTCCTCTAGTTCACCGGTTTCCATAAGTTATACAACAGTAAAATCGATCAAACGCCGTTTCTGTTCGCAGTTCGAGGTATGTACTTCACGAATGCATACTCTACAATGAGACGCGGAAGTCCGCGATGATGAACAAGGCCGATTACGTTTGCGCGGCTGTTGTTTCAAACAAAAAACCGTTAAATTTCGTCCAACGAGTTCAAAGTTTCACTGGCGAATTAACTTACGAGTGTTCCGAGTTTCATCGCGATAGTGATAATTCATTCCGCCTTTCGCGTTTCTTTCATAATGTGTCATTAGATATTTCGCGGTTAAAGAAAAATCCGCGCACCAAAAGGAAAGTTGCAAAAATATTCGATAAGGGCTGATCAAAGAAAATGCGAAAGAGAAGAATACGCGACATTTTTCGAACGTTCTCACGGTCAGATGCGTCCCGATGCTCACGAAAAGATGAATTGTATCAAGTTTCAGCACTTTGGTCTCAATCGAATTCTTTTGCTCATAATTGACTTATAGCCTTACCAATGATTAAGACTCATTCCATTTCAAATAATCCTTGTTACAGCTATCACGACGAGTTTCATTATATTTCAGATACGCCGATACTCTTCGTCGTTAATATCTTACATAAAGTAACGATGAAATGAATATAACGTCAGAGTTTCTATTAGAGAAAATAGTTAAAGCGTCATTCTAGAACAATTTATTTCGTAAAAACTGCCAACACTTCACAAGAAACGTAACAGATATGTTTGAAATGTTTGAAATGTCAGAAATATTTGAAAGTATTCGTATTTTAACGTTTTCTACGTTATTACAATTTTGAGAGTGACATTTATTAACGAATATTAAAAATGCGTAAGCAACGCGCATTATATTTTACATTTTATATAAAGTGTTCCCCACGTCATAACACACGATAAAACACATTCGACGGAGCAACGTCCTTTTCAACACGAACGAACATGTGCACTTGACGAATGTACACACCATACTGCGGCACGCGAGACGACGAAGCTGAAAAAGGGCGACTACGCTTGCGCGGTCTTCGATCCAAAAATTACTACATGGTTGTCAGGCTAAAGAAAATAAACATCCGTTAAATTTCATTCGGTGCGAAAGCAATTGCTTAACTGCCGACTCTTATCCTATCAAAGTTATATTGAGAGAGTACTCGACTCACAAAGTTTTTATGTTTCTTTACACTGCATTCACGCATATTTAGATAGTTTTCGTTGAATAAACGTTTAGAAAGAAAAGATAAAATTAAAGAAGAAATTAAAGAAAAACGTTAGAAAAAAGTGCCTATTTTATGTGTGGATCATTACGAAAGGCCAAGCAAACTGTTTCTACTCCTCTACGGTTAAACGCGCCTCAACTCTCGCGAAGAGATAATGAATGCCGATTTGTATCAGCGTATTAGTGCCACTCGTTCTCTTCTACTCATGGTTGGTTTATGGCCTTATTATCAATCAAAGTTCACTCAAATTCAACGACTGTTAATCTTTAGTATTTTATCGAGCTTTATTGCATTTCAGGTATGTAAATATTTCTCGTTATAAATCTGTAAAGTTATTACATTAAAAAATAGTTACGTAAAAGATTATGTCAAAAATATACGGCGAATTGAAAAAAATTCCAATAAATCTGTTATCATGTAGGATCATACAAAATTATGGCCAAAATTCCTATATATTTATTTAAAAAATATTTGACTTGTTACCATAAAATTATTGTAATTGTCCGAATATATTTTTTATATGGTATATATATATGGTATAAAATTAAAGATATTAGAAAATTGAAAATATTAATTAGAGGAGATTTGTACCTTATTGTACACAATCATATAACAATTTTCTTTC